TTAAATGTTCTTAAATCGTACGTCCGGCATTGCATTTTAAAGGGCATTGTTGTATAAGGAGAACCATTTACAACTATTTTTAAATCCCCTTTAACCTCAGATTCAGTGGGTTCTATACACCATGTATATATGTTTCATGTGAATCACATCGATGTGAACAAAATAATATACATCCGCCGTTTAAGTAGCCTTATCACTCATCACAGTTTTCAGACACACGGATTCGAATTAATGGTCAATGTACTGCTTCATTGGGGTTATTTTGATTTCCAACATAATTTCGCTCTTTGTGAAGATTCTTGACACCGTCACCTACGACAGTAGGGGAAAATGGACACAGCGTAGTCTCACGGTCATTTCTCAAAATATCTTCAGTGAAATCAATGGTAGGTACCAGGCGTCAAACCATCTCTTCCCCTTAACGAATTGGTAATTATCAAGCTTTCACAAGTTACTTATCAAATTGTTTCACAACACCTACAAAAAGTCCCTTATATGAACGTACAATAAGTAATTAACTTACCTGTATCCATAGTCCGCCGACAGGTATTGGTCCCGACACACTTTCACCAGACTGTAACTAAGAGAGACGGGGTAAAAGAAACACCCCTTCTCCGACCACCTTTCCTTTCAGACCTGACCCTACTTATCGGCGAATCTACCCGCCTCCAAGCACAGCACACCTCTATCCACCCTTTAAGATTTTAGCAAACGGTAGTTATACAGGCCTTTTAACAGAGCTGAGTATATCGGATCAATAGCTATCGCTTTAGTCGACCGACGGGTTTCAATAACGCTGTGTGTTTGTATTTTGTATATGCGATACCCACGTCGTCGCTTTGGGTCTTAGAAAGCCCTGCTTTATTATCCCTATAAATTTAGATTCCAATCATGATTGAATGGGCCGGGGGTCAAGCGTTCCCCCAATACAGGTACGCCAAGATAAAGATATTTCAATCTGCCACTGGGCTCCCTTTCATCCTGGGAGAGTTATTAGAATAATGTTGCAACACGTTCTAGAACTGACAGCAGAAATCAGTGTATGCGTTAACAAAGTAAACACAGTATTCCTGTATAGACATAGACTTGATTAGGCTCCATTTTATTAAATACAATCGAAATGAAGTTTAACACAAACCCAAACAAACAAAATTAAGAAAAATCTTTTTCCCAAAATGTTATGAAAAAGTCTTTATTTTATGCATTAGGAACATCGGAGCTAAGAGGGAATTTAGGTTTTTATTTATTTATTTTTAAAATCGGATTGGAAGCCAGGTCAATTTCTGTTGTACAGATCACATTTCGGTTGTATTCTGAATTATTTACACATATGCTGATACATATGTATGTGTCGTCTTCTCTCCCATGCTCCCCTAGGGCCTGACTTCATTGTTGAACGCCAACACTGTGGGAATCCTACAGTGGTTATTGCTGGGTTTGACCGGCTTGACATTGTATTTACATTATGAATGAACACTTACTGTACAGACAAGTGAATGGCAGTATTACCCTTCACTTTCACCATTGTATGTAGTGGCAATATATATGTCCGCGGTGGTGGTGGTCGTCATCGTCATCATCATCATTTGCATATTATTAAAGTCCATGTGAGCTTACGCCGCTTTTTGCAATATTCCAGCAATATCACACCGGAAGACACCAGGAATGAGCACACGTTGTACCCATCTGGGAATCGAACCCGGGTCTTCAGCGTGACGAGCAAACGCTTTAATCACTAGGCTACCCCAAAGCTCCCAATCCAATATGATGCACCAGTGGAATTACCATGGTGATATGTTATTACCCACGTTAGTGGATCATTATTCTCAAATTGCCTCGGGGTTTATACAACACAAGATGCTTTATAAGATTCTCGCTTTACCATTTCATACTACCGGGTACCCACTCACTGCCAAGAGAACACGTGCGCAACAAAGATCTTTCTGATATTTTATGCAGATTTTTATACAAGATATGTGACTAAGTTGGAGCTTGACATTTCTTTTGTATTTTGTGGGCAAGCTGTGTTAATCCCTGCTTTGAATACTGTTTTAGTCCTCTCAGGGTGTCAGCTGAATGTGTTTGGAACGCTGGTCATGTCGATCTGAGTGACTGGTTTTTGTTTTGTGTGATGCTGTACTCTGCGTTCTTCCAGCCATATTAGGGGCGGTGGGGTAGTCTAGTGGTTAAAGCGTTGGCTCGTCACGCCGAAGACCCAGGTTCGAATCCCCACATGGGTACAATAAGTGAAGCCCATTTCTGGTGTCCCCCCGCCGTGATATTGCTGGAATATTGCTAAAAGCGGCGTAAAACCAAACTCAGTCAGTCAGTCAGTCCAGCCATATTACGGGACCATCAAACCAGTGATTGATATCATGACTAACGTCCCATACGTTTGGATACGATACAGTCATCAAGACTGATGATGTATTTTGCCTCTTATGAAAAGCGTCATATTGTGGACGACTTCTACCCTGGAACAATCTGGGTACTTAGGACCTATTCTGCATGGAATACCCACTGGGAGACAATCATGGAACATACTGGACATATAACTCTCCTGTCTGTGCAAGAGAAAAGAACAAGATACATTAACTTGATTGATATATTTTATTCCGCATTTATTAAACATGTCATATGTACACAACAACTGCTAGAACCAGTTCATCAGGTAGAATTTACAGGCAAATCTACCATCCATACTTGTTGGTAATGACCATGGTTCTATCTGATGACTTCGAAGTCACAGATACAGGTTCTCCTTAGAGATTTCCACACATCACAAAATTAATTCAATCTACCTTGATAGTCAGTCCATGTTTTGTCGCAATACTACTGATATAACAACGCCTTTGTCACCTCTTGGTTTGAGATTGTATTTTTAAGGTCATAGTCAAAATATAACCAACACGAAACTGCAAACAACTTTCAGTCATCTCAGAAAATCATTGTCATTCAGGTGAAAATATGGGGGAAAATTTTACAGGTTTATTTTCCATTGTGCATGTTTAATAACAAGTTACTGATTTGACAGTTATTGAGTGAGTGAGTGAGTTTAGTTTTACGCCATTTGTAGCAATATTCCAGCAACATCGGTTTACTGTTATGTATGTATCGTGACGTATCCTAGGGAACATCGGTTTACTGTTATGTATGTATCGTGGCGTATCCTAGGGAACATCAGTTTACTGTTATGAATGTATTGTGGCGTATCCTAGGGAACATCGGTTTATTGTTATGTATGTATCGTGGCGTATCCTAGGGAACATCGGTTTATTGTTATGTATGTATCGTCGTGTATCCTAGGGAACATCGGTTTACTGTTATGTATGTATCGTGACGTATCCTAGGGAACATCGGTTTACTGTTATGAATGTATCGTGGCGTATCCTAGGGAACATCGGTTTATTGTTATGTATGTATGGTGTATCCTAGGGAACACCCGGTTTACTGTTATGTAATGCGATCGTATGCAGTATCCTAGGGAACATCGGTTTACTGTTATGAATGTATCGCGGGCGCATCCTAGGGAACATCGGTTTATTGTTATGTATGTATCGTGGCGTATCCTAGGGAACATCGGTTTACTGTTATGTATGTATTGTGATGTATCCTAGGGAACATCGGTTTACTGTTATGTATGTATCGTGGCGTATCCTAGGGAACATCGGTTTACTGTTATGTATGTATTGTGATGTATCCTAGGGAACATCGGTTTACTGTTTTGTATGGATCGTATGCATCCTAGGGAACATCGGTTTACTGTTATGAATGCATCGTGGTGTATCCTAGGGAACATCGGTTTACTGTTATGTATGTATCGTGGCGTATCCTAGGGAACATCGGTTTACTGTTATGAATGTATCGTGGCGTATCCTAGGGAACATCGGTTTACTGTTATGTATGTATCGTGGCGTATCCTAGGGAACATCGGTTTACTGTTATGTATGTATCGGGTGCATCCTAGGGAACATCGGTTTACTGTTATGTATGTATCGTGGCGTATCCTAGGGAACATCAGTTTACTGTTATGTATGTATCGTGGCGTATCCTAGGGAACATCGGTTTACTGTTATGTATGTATCGTGGCGTATCCTAGGGAACATCGGTTTACTGTATCGTTTACTGTTATGAATGTATATATGCATATCCTAGGGAACATCGGTTTACTGTTATGTATGTATCGTGGTGTATCCTAGGGAACATCGGTTTACTGTTATGTATCGTATTATGTATCCTAGGGAACATCGGTTTACTGTTATGAATGTATCGGTGCATCCTAGGGAACATCGGTTTACTGTTATGTATTATGTTATCCTAGGAACATCGGTTTACTTTATGAATGTATGTGGCGTATCCTAGGGAACATCGGTTTACTGTTATGTATGTATCCATCCTAGGGAACATCGGTTTACTGTTATGAATGTATCGTATGTATCCTAGGGAACATCGGTTTACTGTTATGTATGTATCGTGTATTATCCTAGGGAACACCGGTTTACTGTTATGTATCGTATCGTGGTATGTATCCTAGGGAACATCGGTTTACTGTTATGTATGTATCGTGGCATCCTAGGGAACATCGGTTTACTGTTATGTATGTATCGTATGTATCCTAGGGAACATCGGTTTACTGTTATGTATGTATTGTATGTATCCTAGGGAACATCGGTTTACTGTTATGTATGTATCATGGTAAGTATCCTAGGGAACATCGGTTTACTGTTATGTATGTATGGTGTATGCATCCTAGGGAACATCGGTTTACTGTTATGTATGTATCGGGTATCCTAGGGAACATCGGTTTACTGTTATGAATGCATCGCAGGGTGCATCCTAGGAACATCGGTTTACTGTTATGTATGTATCGTGCAAGTATCCTAGGGAACATCGGTTTACTGTTATGAATGTATTGTATGTATCCTAGGGAACATCGGTTTACTGGTTTGTATTTACTATTATGAAATTAAAGTATCCTAGGGAACATCGGTTTACTGTTATGTATGTATCGTGGCGTATCCTAGGGAACATCAGTTTACTGTTATGTATGTATCGTGGCGTATCCTAGGGAACATCGGTTTACTGTTATGTATGTATCGTGGCGTATCCTAGGGAACATCGGTTTACTGTTATGTATGTATAATGGGATATTCTAGGGAGCATTGGTTTATCGCTGCTTCTTGATATAGGTGAAGGCACTGTCTGGAGGGGGTGGTCTGTAGTAGCGCCGGTACCACATCAACGAGGTGATAAGACCCAAGGAAAACCTGCAGGAGGATTCACACATGAATAGAGCAAAGAATATGCAAGTTTACACACAAGAATAGGGAAGGTTTGTGCAAGATCACACACATACACAGGCCAAGGAATGTGCAAAATTGCACACATACACAGGGCAAGGTATATTCAAGATTACGCACATTCACAGGGCAAGGTATATTCAAGATTGCATGCATTCACAGGGCAAGGTATATTCAATATTACACACATTCACAGGGCAAGGTATATTCAAGATTACACACATTCACAGGGCAAGGTATATTCAAGATTACACACATTCACAGGGCAAGGTATATTCAAGATTACACACATTCACAGGGCAAGGTATATTCAAGATTACACACATTCACAGGGCAAGGTATATTCAAGATTGCACACATTCACAGGGCAAGGTATATTCAAGATTACACACATTCACAGGGCAAGGTATATTCAAGATTACACACATTCACAGGGCAAGGTATATTCAAGATTACACACATTCACAGGGCAAGGTATATTCAAGATTACACACATTCACAGGGCAAGGTATATTCAAGATTACACACATTCACAGGGCAAGGTATATTCAAGATTACACACATTCACAGGCCAAGGTATATTCAAGATTACACACATTCACAGGCCAAGGTATATTCAAGATTACACACACACAGGGCAAGGTATATTCACATTCACAAGGTATATTCAAGATTGCACACATTCACAGGCCAAGGTATATGCAAAATTACAAACATACATAAGGTAAGGTCTGTGCAAAATTACAAACATACATAAGGTAAGGTATATTCAAGATTACACACATGCACAGGCCAAGGTGTATACAAGGTTACACACATACACAGGGAAAGATATATACAATATTACACACATACACAGGGCAAGGTATATACAAGATTACACACATACACATAAAGCCAGGAATATACAAGATTACACACATACATTGGGCAAGTAATGTGCTGATATTTAATAGATATTTAACAATCCAGTTATATCAAACACATCACATTACATGCAAGACAGTTCTGATCTGTCATCTCAATGACAGAAGTGAGATGAGGTCTCTCCTGTTTCTACTTACCATGTGATGATGTATGACATGTGTTCGTTCCTGAGGGTGACTCTGGTCTGTCCACCGATAGGTCCTCCATTCACAGTGCTGTCTGTTAATACAACACAAAAGAGTGAGTGCATGGAAGGTGCTCAAATACATGCTTTCATGTAAGCTGGCATTCAAAGGGAAAGTTTACAGGAAAAAGAACCTATTTTCTTGTTCTTTTTTATCATGAAAATTGTTTACTTTGTACTTTCAAAGACAAACACAATAAAATTATGAAAAATAACTATATATTTTTTGTAGTAGAACGATTTATGTTTTACACATTTACCAAGTGTTCTATTTCTTTAAAAAAATCTCATGCTGTTGATCACTGGATTGTCTTGTCCAGACTTGATTATTTACAGACCGCCACCATATAGCTGGAATACTGCTGAGTGCAGCGTGAAACTAAACTCACTCTCACTCTAAAAGAAAAACACCATGGGTTATGTCCCTTGGAAATATTGATATACAAATGCCATCATCAGTTGTATTGGGACCGCTTCACATAGTGTAAGTTCAAGTGTTTGATTTCAGTGTCTCAGACGCGCATCCTATTGAATTGAACATGGTGCTGTATGGTTCCTCGCTGCGGGAACAACAATGCAAACAAACATGAAACCAAATTAAGGTATTTCCATTTTCCCAAATCACGACAGAGTGAGTGAGTGAGTATGGTTTTACGCCGCTTTTAGCAATATTCCAGCAATATCACGGCGGGGAACACCAGGAATGGGTTTCACATATTGTACCAATGTGGGGAAACGAACCCGGGTCTTTAGCGTGACGAGCCCAAGCTTGAACCACTAGGCTACCCCACCAACAGAGAAGACAAGAATGGATGAAGTTGTGTAAAAAGAAGGATAGTGACTGGAATGGCCCGTCAAGCAAATCATGGGTGTGTGTCATGCACTTCGATACATGCTGTCGTGTTCCGCGATCGACAAGCTGTTTCTTATAAATAGAACTAAAAGCGAGCATCGTGTTTTGTTTGTTGTTGTTTCCTGTTTCACCTTCAGCATTATTCCAGCAAAGTGATGGCAGTGTGTAAGTTACTGGACCAGACAATCCAATGATTGACATCGTCAGTCAAAGTGAAAGATATTTACTGCATGTAAGTCCCCAGAACCACATACAAAGGAGTGAGTGAGTGAGTTTAGTTTTACGCTGCTTTTATCAATATTCCAGCAATATCATGGCGGGGGACACTAGAAATGTGCTTCACGCATTGTACCGATGTGGGGAATCGAACCCAGGTCTTCGTAATGACGAGCGAACGTTTTAACCACTAGGCTACCCCATCGCCCCCATATACAAAGGAGTTACATGTAAGTAGTTTTACATGTTTGGATACATAATAATGTTGAACAGTTTGTTTCTTAGAAAAATGGCATTTTAAACATTTATAGCCAGTTTTAACACATCTAGCCATATAACAGCTTCATCTTTTGAGGAGTGGTAGGGTAGCCCAGTGGATAAAGTGGTTGCTCATCATGCCGAACATCCAGGTTCAATTCCCCACATGGGTACAATGTGTGAAGCCTATTTCTGGTGTTCCCCATGTGATATTGCTCTAATATTGCTAAAAGCGGCATAAAACTAAACTCACCCACTCACTCACTCCTTTGCTAAAGAGATGTAAAGCCACACATCACTCACTCCCTCACACTCATCTTTTGAAGAGAGAAGAGAAGCATAAGCAGAGGCTGTATAATTTGACAGATAACGTTCTGGTATAAACTTGTTTCTTAGATCACAATACTATTGACCGACAAATGTAAAATGAATATCATTTTCTGTAGCTGAATGAGTAAATTTCTAAAATGTTAAATTGTTTTGTAGTCCAACTACAGAATCGGATACTATGATCACATCACTGGCAAAAAGAAACAAAATAATTTCTACTACATTGGGAACATGCACATTTTATATTATTACATATGATGTGAATACATATGATCCGATATTTTTTCTGAAACCAGCTTGAGTTTCAGGAATATTATCATATTAGCCCAATTTATAATCCAGGAATAAAGTACTGAGGTCAAAATCTTCCCAAGAAGGACATTCCCCTACAGTTGTGAATACGCAATACCAATTAAAAAGTGGTTAAATGTAACATAGGTTATATTTGGCATTACACTTTCTCAGTAAAGTACAGATTCAAATACTTTTGCTAGGTTGAGCCCCATCTGGGATTCAAACCCACACCCTCAGATTCAGGCACCTAATCGCCAGCACACAAGGTCAGCAATCTAACCCACTCAGCCACCGCCACTAAGAAAGGATACATCATCAGTATCCATCTATTCAGCTGGGATACGATGACATGCATCGACTAAATCACCCAGTCCCCATATATAGCCATCATGGGTAACTGGGGAACTATTATAACCAGGAATCCCAAATGCTACATTATTCCTGAAAACTTTATCATCTTGAAAAATGCTGATTTGGACTTCATCCAAAAGATGCCAGAATGACACTTATTCAGTTCAGCATTTATCTCACTACATAAGATACAGACAGACAGCAAGCGCCATCCATACTTAAATACAAGCAGTGCCATTCTGATGATTCATAACCCAAGTCAGTACACTGTAACAAACAAGTGTGACAGTACAGTTAGATACAGGTGTATCATACAGGATAACAACCAACAGTCTAGCTATTACTTACACCAGGCTGATATTAAGCTGCAAGTCTGCAGTAAATAACAGTTTAAATCCCAATTGGAATTCAGAGTATCCTAAATTATAAACCTCTATTGTTCTAGCGAGGCAGTATTTCTTGTCATATCCCAATGCCCAGTCGATTAGAGGGCATTACTTCAATATCGTCCCTCTGCCCGTGGATTTTCTGAGGAAAAGCCCTTGACTTTGAATTATTACTTGTTTTTAAAATTGATACGACTTTGTCTTGCCATCACTGAATGCAATCGTAAAATATGACATTATTGAAAACTTCAAACATGTAGTGCCGACACCCGGTTTTGAACCTGCAACCCTTCACTTAAAAGCTTGGCGGTTTTATCCACTGAGGCTCGAAGGATCGCTGTGAAAATAACCGTGTTCCGCCCAAGACAGGTAGTGTGGGCAGAGCAGCGGTGCAGGGCACAGGTATGCAGCATACACGCGGCGCCGGCTGCATGTCTTATCCAAGTTGCTTTCAACAGTAAATACCAAATATTGAAATTATATCTAAAGTATATCTTCGGCCAGTTTATAAGTTGGATAAAGCATGACCCTCGGGCATTACAAAGAAGTAAGGATGTTTTCCCTCGAGGACCCTCGGGCATTACGAAGAAGTAAGGATGTTTTCCCTCGAGGACCCTCGGGCATTATGAAGAAGTAAGGATGTTTTCCCTCGAGGACCCTCGGGCATTACGAAGAAGTAAGGATGTTTTCCCTCGAGGACCCTCGGGCATTACGAAGAAGTAAGGATGTTTTCCCTCGAGGACCCTCGGGCATTACGAAGAAGTAAGGATGTTTTCCCTCGAGGACCCTCGGGCATTCTGAAGAAGTAAGGATGTTTTCCCTCGAGGACCCTCGGGCATTCGAGAAGAAGTAAGGATGTTTTCCCTCGAGGACCCTCGGGCATTACAAGAAGTAAGGATGTTTTCCCTCGAGGACCCTCGGGCATTCTGAAGAAGTAAAGGATGTTTTCCCTCGAGGACCCTCGGGCATTACGAAGAAGTAAGGATGTTTTCCCTCGAGGACCCTCGGGCATTACGAAGAAGTAAGGATGTTTTCCCTCGAGGACCCTCGGGCATTACGAAGAAAGTAAGGATGTTTTCCCTCGAGGACCCTCGGGCATTACGAAGAAGTAAGGATGTTTTCCCTCGAGGACCCTCGGGCATTATGAAGAAGTAAGGATGTTTTCCCTCGAGGACCCTCGGGCATTATGAAGAAGTAAGGATGTTTTCCCTCGAGGACCCTCGGGCATTACGAAGAAGTAAGGATGTTTTCCCTCGAGGACCCTCGGGCATTACAGAAGAAGTAAGGATGTTTTCCCTCGAGGACCCTCGGCATTCTGAAGAGAAGTAAGGATGTTTTCCCTCGAGGACCCTCGGGCATTATGAAGAAGTAAGGATGTTTTCCCTCGAGGACCCTCGGGCATTACGAAGAAGTAAGGATGTTTTCCCTCGAGGGACCCTCGGGCATTTAAGAAGAAGTAAGGATGTTTTCCCTCGAGGACCCTCGGGCATTACGAAGAAGTAAGGATGTTTTCCCTCGAGGACCCTCGGGCATATGAAGAAGAAGAAGTAAGGATGTTTTCCCTCAAGGACCCTCGGGCATTACGAAGAAGTAAGGATGTTTTCCCTCGAGGACCCTCGGGCATTACGAAGAAGTAAGGATGTTTTCCCTCGAGGACCCTCGGGCATTACGAAGAAGTAAGGATGTTTTCCCTCGAGGACCCTCGGGCATTACTTAAAGAAGTAAGGATGTTTTCCCTTGAGGACCCTCGGGCATTACGAAGAAGTAAGGATGTTTTCCCTCGAGGACCCTCGGGCATTACGAAGAAGTAAGGATGTTTTCCCTTGAGGACCCTCGGGCATTACGAAGAAAGTAAGGATGTTTTCCCTCGAGGACCCTGGGGCATTACAAAGAAAGTAAGGATGTTTTCCCTCAAGGAAAACATCCTTACTTCTTCATAATGCCTGAGGGTCATGCTTTATCCTATACTTATCCAAATTTACTAAATTCGCAAATTATAAAATGTTAAAATTTGGACAATGTTCAAATATTTTCCACAATTTGCCAGACGAGGGCACTGGGTGTGAAATAATTGAAAAGTCCATGATAATGTTATTTGACCAGTAACAGATTGTGAAATAAAGGGAAGTAACTCTGTACAACGTAGCAAGTCATCTAACATGGGAATTATGAACTTCAACACTTTCTGTAAAAGGATACAATGAGGCTGAGAACATTTCCACCTGACAGTATTGTTAGTCTGTGACCAACATCACTGCATGATGGCTTCCATAATTGTGTAACCCATCTAGCTCAGGACCTGAGTCACCCTTAACCTTGCCTACATTCAAATTCTGATAATTCACTCTTATGGAGCTCAGGACTAGTGTTGGGAATCGGTAACTAAATCCACTATCAATTATCGGAGGACAACTAGCGATTATAATCAAAATATACACATTTTTAATGTAAACACCAATTTTTAGGGTTTTTCCCAGGTTTTTCTGATTAATGTTTTCCATAACTAATACTGTCATGCAATGAACACATATTTATCAGCATATCTCATTACGTTCACGATAGATGTAAACTTATTCATAGACAGGTTACAGTAATATTTACCGTAGTGATGAATACAATGTATATAGCTTTACCCTGTGGAGCGCATGTTTGTTCGTGAATATTCGTCAAATTTAATGGTTAGTTTACTTCATTCAAGTGTGTTATACTAAACCAACAAAAGTGATCAAACGAAAATATGTTTTTTACAATCGATAAATATTTTTAATCCTTCTTTCAATCGATTTTCGATTACTTTCGATCATCGGAAGACCGCTACTCAAGACTACTAAATTGCGTTTCAGACAAGTGAAAATCCAATGACGGTACTCCTCACTGACTAAAAGCATTGAGGGCTTTATGTTTGAACAGAAATACATATATGTCTGTCAACTGACAAAGGTGAACATGGTCAAATATTGTATATTCTTCAAGTATGACTAACTGCACAAATCAGTGTTGAACTAAACCCTGAAACTCTTTCGAATATAGAGTGTATCCAAGGTAACTAGATTGCAACCAAGGTAACTGTTTCCAAGGTAACTGTATCCAAGGTGACTAGACTGTAACCAAGGTAACTATCCAAGGTGACTAGACTGTAACCAAGGTAACTATCCAAGGTGACTAGACTGTAACCAAGGTAACTAGACTGTAACCAAGGTGAATAGACTGTAACCAAGGTAACTGACTGACTGAATGAGTTTGGTTTTACGCCGCTTTTAGCAATATTCCAGCAACATCATGGCGGGGACACCAGAAATGGGCTTCACACATTGTACCCATGTGGGGATTCAAACCCGGGTCTATGGCGTGACGAGCCAACGCTTTAACCACTAGGCTACCCCACCGCCCCCAACCAAGGTAACTACTCACATCTATCTGCATCAATGAAGACCGGTGCTGTTCCAGCTGCCTGTGACATCTCGGTGACACTCCGGTACAACCAGAACCCCGACGTTTTGTGGTTCCCCTTTGGCATAAATGGGTTGCGCTACAACATCAACGTCATAAACAACGTGACTACAACATCTATGAGATCATTGTAAATGTCAATATCATGAACATTGATTGACTGATTGTCAATCCAGTGATCAACAGCATGAACATCGTTCTACGCAATTGGGATACGATGACATGTGTCAACCAAGTCAGCGGGCCTGACCACCCGATCCCGTTAGTCGCCTGTTACGACAAACATATCATAATCAACATAAACAATGTTTGTTTTTTGTTTGTTTGTTTGCTGTTTAATGCCGCCTTCAGCAATACTCCAGCCATATGGTGGTGGTCTGTAAATAATTGAGTCTGGACCAGACAATACAGTGACAATACATCATGAGCATCGACCTACACAATTTGGACGTGATGATGTGTCAAGACAATTAAAAAGTCTATAACATCATCATGAGCATTGACAACATTATCATTATAAGCATCAACAACCTCATAAACAAACTGAACAATTATATCAGCATCACAACATCAGTAGAGGATATTATATGAGTGCCCATGTCATACTATGTTTATGACACAAGTGCCTAAATGTTTGTATTTCCAGAGCGAGAGCGAGGGATATACCAATATTTAGGCACGAGTGTCGTAAACATAGTATGATATGGGCACAAAAATAATATTCTGTTTATTACCGAAGTCGTGAAATTGAGGAAAATAACCCAAATCTACTTTCAAACATAGGCTGTCTACCCGCCGTCGCCGCATATACGTCACAAAAGAAACGTGACGTCATGGCATTGTTCATGACAAAGTGATATTTTGCCCTAGAGCATCGTATGAAATATATATACCCCGATATGTTCGCCCTTCGAAGGTAATAAACAATGATATTTAGTGAGTGAGTGAGTTTGTCCATCTGTTCATCTCTCTGTCAGGTGTAACCCTGCTTTTACCAGTATTCCAGTTTTATCAGGACTTGTCAGCTCAATGTGGAAGGAAATCCCTAAGTGATGCAAGACTCTGCTGTAACAGCTTTGGTGAAACCCATACTGCATTGATGCTGACAAACGTTCAGTCTGTTTGGCTCAAATGGGGACTACTCGAAAACTAATAAACATATAATACTCAATGAAAGGCTGATCATAAGCAAAACATCAGACCAACTCTGAGAGTTTTTGCATAATTTATTTCCTTAGAATAAAAAAGTTGTTTAACAAACTATCATTAAAATATTGACATAGTTCACTATTTGTTACGAGGTTGGAGAGCAAAGAGAGGAACAGCCAGGTGTGTTAGAAAGGATGGAGATTGCTATTGTTTGGCAGGGGACATTTCAAAAGTCATCATTGGAGGGATTATCTGAATCACGCTGGTCCTGATAAAAACAGTGGTTGATAACATACGAGACATTCCCTGCTGTTGGGGCATGAAGACTCTCCATTCGGGTACAAACACTCTCCATTGGGGTACGAAGACTCTCCATTGGGGTATGAAGACTCTCCATTGGGGTATGAAGACTCTCCATTGGGGTACGAAGACTCTCCATTGGGGTACGAAGACTCTCCACTGGGATATGAAGACTCTCCACTGGGATACGAAGACTTTCCATTGGGGTATGAAGACTTTCCACTGGGATATGAAGACTCTCCACTGGGGTATGAAGACTCTCCATTGGGGTACAAAGACTCTCCATTGGGGTACGAAGACTCTCCATTGGGATATGAAGACTCTCCATTGGGGTACGAAGACTCTCCATTGGGGTACGAAGACTCTCCACTGGGATACGAAGACTTTCCATTGGGATACGAAGACTTTCCATTGGGATATGAAGACTCTCCATTGGGGTACAAAGACTCTCCATTGGGGTACGATGACTCTCCATTGGGGTATGAAGACTCTCCACTGGGATACGAAGACTTTCCATTGGGGTATGAAGACTTTCCATTGGGGCACGAAGACTTTCCATTGGGGTACGAAGACTTTCCATTGGGATATGAAGACTCTCCATTGGGGTACGAAGACTTTCCATTGGGGTACAAAGACTCTCCATTGGGGTATGAAGACTCTCCATTGGGGTACGAAGACTCTCCATTGGGGTACGAAGACTCTCCATTGGGGTACGAAGACTCTCCACTGGGATATGAAGACTCTCCACTGGGATACGAAGACTTTCCATTGGGGTACGAAGACTTTCCATTGGGGTACGAAGACTTTCCATTGGGATATGAAGACTCTCCATTGGGGTACGAAGACTTTCCATTGGGGTACAAAGACTCTCCATTGGGGTATGAAGACTCTCCATTGGGGACTGAAGACTCTCCATTGGGGTAATGAAGACTCTCCATTGGGGGCATGAAGACTCTCCACTGGGATATGAAGACTCTCCACTGGGATACGAAGACTCTCCATTGGGGTATGAAGACTTTCCACTGGGATATGAAGACTCTCCACTGGGGTATGAAGACTCTCCATTGGGGTACGAAGACTCTCCATTGGGGTACGAAGACTCTCCATTGGGATATGAAGACTCTCCATTGGGGTACGAAGACTCTCCATTGGGGTACGAAGACTCTCCACTGGGATACGAAGACTTTCCATTGGGATACGAAGACTTTCCATTGGGATATGAAGACTCTCCATTGGGGTACAAAGACTCTCCATTGGGGTACGATGACTCTCCATTGGGGTATGAAGACTCTCCACTGGGGTATGAAGACTCTCCACTGGGATATGAAGACTCTCCACTGGGATACGAAGACTTTCCACTGGGGTGCAAAGACTCTCCATTCAGGTACGAAGACTCTCCATTGGGGTACGATGACTCTCCATCGGGGTATGAAGACTCTCCACTGGGGTACGAAGACTCTCCACTGGTATACGAAGACTTTCCATTGGGGTACAATTACTCTCCACTGGGGTACGAAGACTCTCCACTGGGATACAAAGACTTTCCATTGGGGTACAAAGACTCTCCACTGGGATACGAAGACTCTCCACTGGGATACGAAGACTCTCCACTGGGATACGAAGACTTTCCATTGGGGTACAAAGACTTTCCATTGGGATATGAAGACTCTCCATTGGGGTACGAAGACTCTCCATTGGGGTACGAAGACTCTCCACTGGGATACGAAGACTTTCCATTGGGGTACAAAGACTCCTCATTCGGGTACGATGACCCTCCATTGGGGTATGAAGACTCTCCACTGGGGTACGAAGACTTTCCATTGGGGTACAAAGACTCTCCATTCGGGTATGAAGACTTTCCATTGGGGTACAAAGACTCTCCATTGGGGTACAAAGACTCTCCATCGGGGTACAAAGACTCTCCATTGGGGTACGAAGACTCTCCACTGGGATACGAAGACTTTCCATTGGGGTACGAAGACTTTCCATTGGGGTACGAAGACTTTCCATTGGGATATGAAGACTCTCCATTGGGGTACGAAGACTTTCCATTGGGGTACAAAGACTCTCTATTGGGGTATGAAGACTCTCCATTGGGGTACGAAGACTCTCCATTGGGGTACGAAGACTCTCCATTGGGGTACGAAGACTCTCCACTGGGATATGAAGACTCTCCACTGGGATACGAAGACTTTCCATTGGGGTATGAAGACTTTCCACTGGGATATGAAGACTCTCCACTGGGGTATGAAGACTCTCCATTGGGGTACAAAGACTCTCCATTGGGGTACGAAGACTCTCCATTGGGATATGAAGACTCTCCATTGGGGTACTTAAGACTCTCCATTGGGGTAGTCACGTAAGACTCTCCACTGGGATAACGAAGACTCTCCATTGGGGTACGAAGACTCTCCATTGGGGTACGAAGACTCTCCACTGGGATATGAAGACTCTCCATTGGGGTACAAAGACTCTCCATTGGGGTACGATGACTCTCCATCGGGGTATGAAGACTCTCCACTGTGGTATGAAGACTCTCCACTGGGATACGAAGACTCTCCACTGGGATACGAAGACTTTCCATTGGGGTGCAAAGACTCTCCATTCGGGTACGAAGACTCTCCATTGGGGTACGATGACTCTCCATTGGGATATGAAGACTCTCCATTGGGGTACGAAGACTTTCCATTGGGGTACAAAGACTCTCTATTGGGGTATGAAGACTCTCCATTGGGGTACGAAGACTCTCCATTGGGGTACGAAGACTCTCCATTGGGGTACGAAGACTCTCCACTGGGATATGAAGACTCTCCACTGGGATACGAAGACTTTCCATTGGGGTATGAAGACTTTCCACTGGGATATGAAGACTCTCCACTGGGGTATGAAGACTCTCCATTGGGGTACAAAGACTCTCCATTGGGGTACGAAGACTCTCCATTGGGATATGAAGACTCTCCATTGGGGTACGAAGACTCTCCATTGGGGTACGAAGACTCTCCACTGGGATAAGAAGACTCTCCATTGGGGTACTGAAGACTCTCCATTGGGGTACACGAAGACTCTCCACTGGGATATGAAGACTCTCCATTGGGGTACAAAGACTCTCCATTGGGGTACGATGACTCTCCATCGGGGTATGAAGACTCTCCACTGTGGTATGAAGACTCTCCACTGGGATACGAAGACTCTCCACTGGGATACGAAGACTTTCCATTGGGGTGCAAAGACTCTCCATTCGGGTACGAAGACTCTCCATTGGGGTACGATGACTCTCCATTGGGATATGAAGACTCTCCATTGGGAAATGAAGACTTTCCATTGGGGTACAAAGACTCTCTATTGGGGTATGAAGACTCTCCATTGGGGTACGAAGACTCTCCATTGGGGTACGAAGACTCTCCATTGGGGTACGAAGACTCTCCACTGGGATATGAAGACTCTCCACTGGGATACGAAGACTTTCCATTGGGGTATGAAGACTTTCCACTGGGATATGAAGACTCTCCACTGGGGTATGAAGACTCTCCATTGGGGTACAAAGACTCTCCATTGGGAGTACTGAAGACTCTCCATTGGGATATGAAGACTCTCCATTGGGGTCACGAAGACTCTCCATTGGGTACGAAGACTCTCCACTGGGATACGAAGACTCTCTCCATTGGGGTATTTGGGTAAGACTCTCCATTGGGGTACGAAGACTCTCCACTGGGATATGAAGACTCTCCATTGGGGTACAAAGACTCTCCATTGGGGTACGATGACTCTCCATCGGGGTATGAAGACTCTCCACTGTGGTATGAAGACTCTCCACTGGGATACGAAGACTCTCCACTGGGATACGAAGACTTTCCATTGGGGTGCAAAGACTCTCCATTGGGGTACGAAGACTCTCCATTGGGGTACGAAGACTCTCCATCGGGGTATGAAGACTCTCCACTGGGGTACGAAGACTCTCCACTGGGATACGAAGACTCTTTCAATTGGGGTACAATTACTCTCCACTGGGGTACGAAGACTCTCCATCGGGGTATGAAGACTCTCCACTGGGATATGAAGACTTTCCATTGGGATACGAAGACTCTCCATTGGGGTACGAAGACTCTCCATTGGGGTACGAAGACTCTCCACTGGGATACGAAGACTTTCCATTGGGGTACAAAGACTCTCCATTCGGGTACGATGACTCTCCATTGGGGTATGAAGACTCTCCACTGGGGTACGAAGACTTTCCATTGGGGAACAAAGACTCTCCATTCGGGTACGAAGACTTTCCATTGGGGTACAAAGACTCTCCATCTGGGTACAAAGACTCTCCATCGGGGTACAAAGACTCTCCATTCGGGTACGAAGACTCTCCATTGGGGTACGAAGACTCTCCAGCAATATCAACGCAGTGAACATCAGAAATGGGCTTCACACCTTGTACCTATGTGTGACGAGCGAACACTCCAACGACAAGGCTACCCCACCACCACCACACCAAGTAAATCACCAAGGTCAAGGTACCTGACCACTGACCATATTAGGCATCTTTTATGACAAGAATCAGGTACTGGGGGCCAAAGCAATCGTCCATGTCAAGGCACCTGACCTCCAAATCTCCATATTAAGTAAAATCACTTCGTTAGGTGTCTCCTATGACAAGTATCAGGTACTAAAGTACTGTCGGAAATGCTAGAAAAATGCTTTTTAGCCTTAATATCTTTAGAAAGGTGATAAATGTATTATGTTGTCAATATATCAACTCACCTATAGTGTACCTAATTTTTATTTCAATTGATTTAACATTCCCATGCATTTAAAGGGCAGTTTACAGGAGAGAATTTGAAATAGTCAACAACAGAAATCTGAAATAGTCTTTACATTTATGTTAATAATACAGGTGGTGTAAAAATATAAATTAACGTTTTTCTTAAACAAATAAATGTTGAATGTTTGTGTTACTTTACTTAATTATCGTTTCTTTATTGAGGAAATATTAATATAAATGTTAAGTCTTGATAAATAAGTTTCCCGTCATGCATGCACATCTTTATCACAGCGTCCACTATGGCCAACTATTTGCAGACGATTGTTGCAAAGGTTTATAAGTTTTTTGTGCTTGAAAAAGACAGAGGTAAACCTTTCATTAGTATAGAAATGGTTTATTACAGAACTTGTAGAGCTGTTGGTATGTCTTACCAACAAGTTTACAATATTGTAAACAAATCAGACAAGACAGGGACCGACTCAAAAGCAAAACCGGACGTAAAACCATCCCTGACAAGTTTGACAAGGGAGTACTTAGACGGGCGGTCTACAAACTTTAGGAGAAGAATGATATATATATTCTAATGAAGCTACACTAGTGACTTCGTTAAATCTATGGCCAATGTTCACAATTAGATTAAACTGACCGAATTACATCCATATTTTTGCAATGAAATATACTGTTGACATGCAAAACATTTATTAAAACGTTGCACATTTCTACAATCAATCGATAAGATAACAAAAGTGATAGGATTCTTTCAAATTTACAGTAATTCAGTATGTTTATTTCACAACAAACACACATACACAAATGATCCTTACATAACCAATAACATTATACTATATGTACACATATTCAACATTTTGAAGAAAACATCTATTGAGATGACCCCTGCGTGTGCTCAGGTGTCAATTTCACCTGTCGATACCGTGCATGCTGATGACGTAACACAGGCAGTTAATGTTTGTATCAAATAACGTCCCACTACCCCTTATTTTTCTAGGTTTTTGGTATTTTCATCAGTAAAAACGCATTTTAGGGCATGTCTAAAAATTTATTCCCTCGGTCTACATTAGGTAGATGTTTCTTAAAGTGATATTTGTTATTTAAGTAACTGTAATACCTCTGAATTGTAAATATAAGTCAAAAAGCATTTTTCTAGCATTTCCGACAGTACTTTAAGGGACCAACTCAAACAACCACGCCACGATGCCCACCCTACAATTCCTCATATTAGGTGTCTCCTATGACGACCATGACATACTCGGATCCAACCTGACTAGAGAATTCCCAAATCAGATCTGTGTTACATGAAGTTCTGATCCCGACTTCAAACAGGACATACACAATCATCAGCTGGAGTCTTACCTGGTCGTCATGACGCACAACTCCGACTATCTCTACCTCATCCGAAATCTGCAATAGAAATATTTTTAAGTGGACACAAAAGATGGCATCCGATATATTAACTGAGCCTGGACAGTGTGAGTCAAAATTATGGCTGTTTGAATCTATTTTCCATGAACATCTTTCTTAAATGCTATAAGTATAACATGTCTGTTATAAACAAATACAACATTCAATGTGTGGGGTGACAATTTCAGTCTAACATTTAACCTGCCATCTGTTTGTCTTTTGCTTAACCTCACACTGAGCAATATTCTGGCATTATGGCGCTTCGTGAATAATCCAGTGACCTATTCAAAACCAATTCAGTAGAAAACTAGCATTATGTCGACAAGGCACAAAAGGATCGACATATGAATGTGTTCAAGGAAAAGGGAGATAACACAATGCAAGTGTATAAATGTTCCCTGAATTATCTCCCTTATACAAAAACATGTCCGAGAATCATAGTGTCACCATCAAACAGTGGTATCAAACATGAGGACATCAAACCAACCAGTCTCAGCTTTTTCTTAGAAATATAGTCTACATCTGCACATAATTGTTCTGAGAATTATGACTTGAAGCAGGATAATCTTCGTGAATTATGTAGGATTTCATCAGTCAAACTTTCATCAGATGAATCTGTCAAAAGGCAAGTCTCATTGTGTACTCCCCAGGGAGTTGAGAATGATACATGATAGTATACTGATCTGTGGAAAGTTGTATTATTTGTGTAGCACTTTCATGAGCACCATGTGTGGTGTCTAGCACATCACAAATACTCATCAATATCTTTAGTTCCCGATATCCTGCTAGATGGCGCTGTTTTCCTCACCTGACCTTCTGGTCGTGTTGCAGGATTCTGGTTCTTGGCAGGAACCCACCCTCGATTTACCAGGATGGTCAAGCTGCAAACACAGACAGTGCAGATGAAATGTCTGGAAACAATGTGTCAATGGATTCACTCAACACTAGAACAAACATTGTGAATGAAGGCCTTTGATCAAAATGGAAACACTAAAACCTCAGAACAATATAATTCCAGGCACAAATAGAGGTAATTTATGGTTAAATTTTACATAAGTTTCTGCTATGAAAACCCAACTGCAGCATGACAAGCTATGTGAGTGAGTGAGTTTAGTTTTACGCCACTTTTAGCAATATTCCAGCAACATCACAGCTGGGGACCACTGGTGACAAACAGACACTTTAACCACAAGGCTACCCCACCACCCCGATATGCTACGTGTATGGGAAAGGGGGAGGGAGGGTGTGCGGGACTCAGTGGGGAGGGGCAGTGGGAGATTGGGGTTTGAATCAGGCATCAGTGTTTCCACTCAGATTTTCTGGCCTGGATAGTGAAGGGTAGTAGGGTAGCCTAGTGGTTAAAGTGTTTGCCTGTTGTGCGAAAGACCCAAGTTCAATTCCCAACATGGGTACAATGGGAAGCCCATTTCTGGTGTTCCCCACCATAATACTGCTGGAGGGTTGCTGAAAGTGGTGTAAACTTACACTCACTCATTCCCTGGAAAGTAAAGTTATCTAGACAAACCGATTCATTGCCAGGAATAAGTCTGTTTATAAGAATTGAGATGAAGGCATAGAAATCAAAGTTCTTCTGATACATAATGATCAAACGCAACACTGCAGCACACACACCCATTCATTTTACAAATAAACAACACAGATGACGTACTCCCTATCAGAGAGTATGAACGGTGTGACGACGTTGGATCCAGGGCTAGGTGTGTTTGTATTGATAAGTCCGCCCTGACTCGCTGTCATCACGTTACTCCGCGGAGCGATGTACATCTCTCGACTGTGATCAAACCGGCCACGGACCGTCACACTGCGGTACTCAAGATCCTTCAACTCCTCAAAGCTGAAAACACAAACAAAACACCAAACATGCATGAGTTGATCATACCAGTAAACTGATTAAATAAAATGAGCAGATCTGAGAACACTTCACGAGAAAATTTATTGATTGAACAAAATACAAGCCATTTTGAGAGAATGGTGTCAAAATAATTTTGTTGCAAAATCTCAAAATGGTTGTTGAATCGCACAACAAACTAAACAAATTCAAATTTCATTACAGCTTCAACCAACATTGGCAAAAGAGTGACAGAGATTTCAGTGAGATTGATATGACTTAAACCAGTGTATGAAATAAGGCCTGTCCGACCGTCCGAGACAGGCTAGATTTCTGCCGGACGGTCTAATTTTACAGCTAGCCATCCCGATGGACGGGTGGAAAAAATATTAGGATAACATGTCCACTGGCACTGTCTATTTAGTATTTAAGAAGGAATGGTTAAATCTCTTCTGGGCTGGTAAGTTTTTGAAGTTACCAGCCCAGATGTCGGGCTGGGTTTTGACTTATTTCATACACTGCTTAAACCTCTGGAACAAATTTAGAGATCATCACTTGTGTGCTGGTGATTAGATGCCTGACTCTGAGGGTGTGGGTTCGAATCCTGGATGGGACAAAAACCCAACAAAACTACTAGAATCTGTACTTTACTTAGAAATTTAAGAGTAATCCCAAATATAACATATGTTACATCATTTGTGGGAACAATTATGTGAAGTTTCAACTTCATTGGACCTGTGGTTTCAGATGAGATGCTTGAAGGATCATGCATTACACGTAACAGACATACAGGTCATCTAAAAATTACTTGACTTTCAGTTGTGTGAGCAAACCTAAACAAGTCATCAGAAGATGACATATCCCCCCGGCCCCCAATTATTTGAAAGAAACAAATCATCTGACAGTTACTTAAAGTCCAACTTAATTTTGGGGGGACTAAGTCCAAATCGTTTCCATGGAAATCATGAAAAATACAAATGTCAAAAAGCTGTAAATAGCAAAAGGCATCACTTCCAGATCTGTTTGATATATCTACCAAGTCTTGTAGAAAGATATTGAATGGTTTTCGAGTTGTGCTCTGGAAACAAATCCCACCCCTCCCTTCTGAAACTAAATCTGAATCGTTTCCATGGAAACCGGATAAAATGAAATGACAATATAGCAAAAGGCACCACCTTGGGTTCTGTTTCATATATCTAACAATTCTTGATGAAAAATATTGAACAGACAGGCGAGTCAACTATATCCTTCCCGTATTACATTCCGGGGAAAAAATAAATGAATGAAATTATTCACTGAATAGTATATATGCCATGTAAATTGTAACGTGTTACAAAAGGTTGCCATTTCTGGAAACTCAGATGACATCACATTGTTACACATAAGTAGGATATAGTATATAGTATATAGTATATAGTATATAGTATATAGTATATAGTATATAGTATATAGTATATTAGTATAGTATATAGTATATTAAATACTATGTCGCCTTAGTCATGGCCATTATCACTCTACTGAGTAACAACATCATGAAAATGCAGCCAGTGGTTCATTTGGATGCCACCCATGAAGATCCGGGTTAGAATTGATCTTTAGTAACCGATGCTTGTTGTAAGAGGCGACTAACGGGATCGGGTGGTCAGGCCCGCTGACTTGGTTGACACGTCATCGATTCCCAAATTTGACGTAGATCAATGCTCATGATGTTGATCACTGGATTGTCTGTTCCAGAGTCGATTATTTACAGACCGCCGCCATATAGCTGGAATATTGCTGAATGCAGTGTAAAATTAGACTCACTGACTCACTATAAAATTGTGAATAGCGACTCACACATTTGGAGGCCTTCTATAAACTAAAATATTTTACAAACACGCTTCTAGTTCTCTTATCAAACCTCTCCTTATTACAACATTGAAGACTATACTTTCTGAAAAATTTGAAGCAGCAAGAAGGGACAGGAGATACTGACTCAAGTGGAAGAGGAACAGGTGGCTGCGTCGTCTTCTTTTCAAGGTCGGAGATGAGACCAAGCTTCCATTTACGTCTTTGGATCTGCCATGTCCCCAGACAAAAGGCTGCTGCTGGAATCACCTAGAACCATGGAACACAGCTGTTAGTAGAAAGCCTCTCACTGACAACAGGTACGTGTAGTAATGTGGGAGTTAAGTTTTCACAAGTTTAAGTTTAGCAAAATTCCAGCAATATCACAGCAGGTGGACACTTGAAATGGGCTTCACACATTGTACCCATATGGGGAATTGAACCCGGGCCATCAGCATTATGAGTGAACCCTTTAACCACAAGGCTACCCCACAAATGCTCTAGCGTCCTAAGACAAACGGAGGAATGTCCCAATACATAAAAAATATTACCAGCTTCATTTCATGGCACACAGCAATATAAGTCACGTACTAGTGATAATACCACTTTTTTAACCAGTCAAGGCCACAGCTCAGGTTTGCACTGAGTTATTTTTAAAACAAAGCTATGTGGAGCGGATATTTTATCACACCAAGTAATCCCAGATAATCGAGGATGCTTGATAGTGAGTGAGTTTAGTATTACGCAGCACTCAGCAATATTGCAGCTAAATAATCGAGTCTAGACCAGACAATCCAGTGATCAACAGCATAAGCATTGATCTGTGCAACTGGTAACCAATTACATGTGTCAACGAAGCCAACGAGCCTGACCACCTGATCCCGTTAGTCGCTTCTTATGACAAGCATGGGCAACTGAAGACCAATTCTAACCCGGATCTTCATGGGTAGGATGCTGGAAAGCATGTCTGGGATGTACAGTAACCATGGTAACTACCAGCAGGGCATAGCCTCCTTCACCAAAAGTCTTCTTCTTCTTGTATGCCCTGGTTTGCCTTGGGGTCTGTTGAGTGGACTGACAGCGGAAGATCAAAATGTGTCCTCGTCTCTGAAAACATAACTTAAAAACTGAAACTACTTCGTAATAATAATTAGGATATTTCAGCTGTGGAGTATATATCATAATGATAATAACACAGCATTAGATGTTACATCAACATCCTCAACAACGAGTCACACAGAGACTGTTGCTGCTGGAACAATGCAACAACTGGCAAAGCATAACATCAAATGAGCAAAACATATTACCTGAATGTTGTTATTACTGCCTTAATTACGATTGCATGTTGGGTGGGGAGTGTGGTTAAGTGAATTTACTTGACTACTGCCATATTACAGCCCAACAGTTTCAACATAGATATTAGATGCTTCACTCGGACACAATATATTACTGGCTCAAAATTAAGTGTGGTTGAATGACTGACTCAGAAAAAATACCCATGGACTATGAAATAGTGGTTTACATAAAAATAATGACAGGTGTTGCAGCAGCCAGTCAAGTTTTACAATAGATAATGATGTCTGGACCAGACAATCCAGTAATCAACAGCATGAGCACCGATCTACGCAATTGGGATACATCTGTCAACAAAGTCAGCGAATCTGACCATCCGATCCCGTTAGTTGTTTTTTTTACGACAAGCATGGGCAGATGAGGACCCATTCTGACGGATCGGCCTACCTTTAGAATACAGCACCACAAAATTTAAAAATACGTCATAATACCCTTTTACGTAATGTTATGTGATTTTGTTCGAAAGCACGTTCTCGAAACAATGCCCTATGACGCCTGCATGGCAACATGGTTGTCTGGCTCAGCGAGTGCGTATCAGCTCCGCTCACTGGTGTTTCATCTCTACAAGCTATGTCATTGCATAAGCCCAGCGATGTTGAGAGTTTCCAGTAGTTGTATACAATACAATGCAATATTTTGCAAGCACCAGTTTGAAATAATTTTCTTTTTTCACTAATACGCTCATATTTATTTGTACTACGTGCTGCTGAGGTGTTATGTTTTGTGTATTTTGTATTTTGTAATTATTTTAATTTACATATATATTTTTGTCATTCAGTAATTTGCACCATTACATAGAAAAGTGTTTTAGTAGTATTTTATTTTTCGAAGCGGTAATAATGCATTGAACTAGACACGTCAGTCGTGTTTGTGCCGGTTCGGTCAATGCATTCTATTTATTAGGATTAATACAAGGGATTGGGGTTAGGGCTAGGGATAGGACTAGCACTAGGACTAGGGTTTAGGGTTAGGGTTGGGGACCTAATGCAATACAGTAGGTACATGTCCGGTGGTTCGGTCAATGCATTCTATTTATTAGGATTATTTCTAGGGGTTAGGGTTAGGGCTGAGGGTTTAGGGTTAGGGAGTGGGACCTAATCCAATATAGCAGGTACATGTCCGGTGTAATACGTGAGTACCATTTGTTGTTTTTCCTTTTTACATTTGAAACCTTTTTATTCACACAAAAACGGGAAACCAAAAACGTCGAAAGTACATTATAAAATGGTTTAATGTAGAAATTTTGGGCTAATGGAAATTGGTCTGGAATTTGAACTCAAGCCTCTTTCACAGGCAACATAAATTTTGTAAAGTACTGATTCGAAGGCTAACTCACCCGAGTGCCGTCACTACACATGCTCATGTCTCCCTCGTTCTTTAGTGCGATCCACATTATCCTTACAGTGTTCCCTACATCTTTTTTCTGTCACAAAATCACCGAAGGTCGCGGGTTCGCGTCCGACGGGTTCTCATAAACTGGTTGCTTGTCTTAATGACACGTGACCTACGGCAGAGAAGTTGTGGTGCTGTATTCTAAAGGTGCTCCCCCGGATCTTCATGGGTTTCATTGGTACATGAAGCTCATTTGGCTAATGACACTAATGTGTTAATCAAAACTGTGACCATGGGTGTTGTCATAATGACACTGTGCTCGTTTATCTTACGCCCGATCGTTCACACTTAGTATCATAAACGGTGCCTAACAATAAATACCTAACGGGGTGTTTCATTGGAAAGGTGTACCTATCATAAAGATCATAATAACGGATGCTTGATGGAAATCCGAGGGCTGAGCTCGGGCAGGAGCCAGTTAGCGCTTTACAAGCCCAGTAAAACGTTGTCTTGACTTGAGCAATTGTATTTACCTCGGTCGAATGTATTTACCAATTACTGCCCTTCATTCTCAAAAATTGTACATGATCATACATAGTTCAGCAAGCTAAACGTCGTGTTCCTGCCAGGCATATGGCAGGAACATGATCAAACATGGCACCTTGGGTCCAGCAATTCTCTTGTCAAAACAAGTTTGCATGTGTTCATTGCATATGGACTTACCAAATTCCACAGGAAACTTGAGGATCGCGAAAATAATGTCATAACTGGATGTGTAAATAATTATCTAAACATAAAACATGTCATACACCGTAAGCATGTTGTACAACCATGTCGAGTGCTCGTTGGAGTTATCTGCCCATTCACTCTTCTCTGTAAAGGTTACGTTGATTTGATGTTGGTTCCCTGTATGTACCAATCACCATAGCGCTCTCATAATCTTCAAGATGGCCGACGGCGTGCAGAAAAGACTGCAAAGCGAGGTTGAAAAATACCAAAGTCTTCAGAAAGGTGGCGATTTCATAGGGTTTTCTTTACTTTTACTCTTAACGTTTTTATAACAATATATTTTGTATGAATCTTTTTAGGACTAAATTCTTAGAAAATTCTCAATTCATGTTCGACAAGATTCACTGTTCGATACCGGTCTAGATTTTCGTTGACTGTTTCAGTGAACAAGTCCGGACGAAACATAATGTTTTGATTTCACTCGGTCGAATGTATTTACTGCCCTTTGCTAGAGTGTAGGTAGCACGAATCGTATTTAATGTTAGTAGTCAAGGATTGCCCTGGCGCAGAAATCTTGAGTGTTGCGATGAAAATGGGTTAGTGGGGTCGATTCGACCCGTCAACCGATTCGTATGATCTAAACTGTAGTAACATGAACAGAAATATAGTGATATTTGAATATTTGGATAGAAATAGTTTAAAGTAATTAATGACATTCAGTACATTCCCTGTTATGACTCAGTCATGCCATCTTGCCAAGTAACTACTTTCGTTATCGTAATGCTTAAATTTATGCAAACTTTCACTTGGATTAAGTTGGAAGATCATATACAATATGACAAACTTGTATGGATATGATTCATTATTAACTGCTTCAGTGAATTAATTTTCTAAATTCTTTGTAAAGAATTATGAATAGCCTATTGGTTACAGGGAGTCAATTGGTTTCTATCATCATTTGTAACATCATATCTGCTCTTTCATCTCACAATCCCCTGTTTATTGTATATAAATGCTTAAATTCAGTCTGGCTTCATGTACTTTACTAGTATATACATCCTGTATACCTGTTAGTTACCATTCACCTGAAAAAGGAGCAAGGAATAGCCCAGAAACATTGTGTATAGAATAAACAACAAGTTGACATCCATAATATTTTGTATACTAGAGGGAGTCAAGATAACACCCATATTCGGTAGCCAAGAGCAATCCCTGGTAGCAGACAGTTGTTAAGCTGTTGAAGTCAACAAGAGGGCTTGCTTCGACCACACCCCCACTTTGTGCGGCATTTGTGTCAAGATCGTTTAGTTAAGAGTCAAAATCCGGTTTCAATCGACTTGCAGAAATAACAATAGAGAATTGGTAGATGTCATGAGTGGTGCTCAGTAGGCCAATCTTCCATGATAATATTTTTATTAAGTTTTAATCGATTGTATGCGATGGTAGCGTAGCGATCGTCAAAACAGTCAGGTAGGGTGCACCGAAGTGTCCGGCCTTGTCATGATGTATTATACTGTGATGCATTTCGAGTCGGGGGTCATCTAAATATTTTTTTTAATATTTTATAAAAGCTTTAATCCTCACAAAGACACGAGGGCCTGTGGAATAGAATTGGTCTTTAGCAACCCATGCTTGTTGTGAGAGGCAGCTAATAGGATTGAGTGGTCAGGATCACTGGCTTGGTTGATCACTGGATTGTCTGGTCTGGAATATTGCTGAGTGCAGCATTGCACAACAAACAAAACAAACCTAGATGCAGGATTGTGATATTAGTAAACCCTTTAAATCCAAGAGTGCATCCTCTAATTGATTAATATTTTACATGGAGTTTTAGTGTTTTGAACAGATTAATGAGAGTGTATCATTGAATACAATTACATGTACTTGCTTCCAGACCTTCAGAAATACATGTCTATGAGGCAACAGCTTGATGCCCAGCTGAATGAAAACACCTTGGTAAAGGAGGTGAGTATGGAAGTGAAAAGGTTTCCAGTACTAATGATAGTTTTCTCATGAGAATCTGTAGGGATTCCAGGGAGGAATAAAGGGGCTCGTAGTACTACATGTATGTGAATAGTGTGTTCAGGCTCATTGACATTTTATGTGGTAAAATCAAATTGACAGTTATCCCATTGTTGATTGATGTTTGGGAAAACATATATGTATTTATTTGTTAAGTCACACTGACTGTTGACAGTTAATTTTCATAATGAAAGCTCATTGCTAAATGGAAAAGATGGAACAGATACTTTGGGGATTCAACTTCACTTGTGAATGTGTTGAATGTATTTCCTGTATCAAACTTGAGTCACAGGTAACACATGGGCTAAGGCAATTCAATTCATGCAGAGTGCTGTACACCTCTGGTGAAAGGAAATCTTTGGTCATGGGTGCAAATCTCGTTTCTCCATGATATTGTTTCTTAGTTTGTCAGTACTACACCTATTCTGGTGGATTTCTAGGTAAAATGTTAAATGTCTACAATTTGCAACACTTCAGGCTTTCCTATCATGACAATTTTTGATAAATCTGCAATAATTTAAGCAGAATTATCAACCTGATTTCATTGGTCCCAGGAGCTGGACCGTCTGGAAACAGAGTCCAAGGTTTACAAGATGATTGGTCCAGTGTTAGTCAAGCAAGACCTGGAGGAATCCAAGCAGAATGTGCAGAAAAGAATTGACTATATCTCGGGTGAAATGTATGTATCAGCTGACTGTGGTGAAATGTATGTATCAGTTGACTGTGGTGAAATGTATGTATCAGCTGACTGTGGTGAAACGTAATATTTTCAGACTCTATTCCTAACTAAATGTTCTTATCAGCTGAATTTATGTCTATGGTCAAATCTGTACATCACCTGGGTGTATATCTGTGGTGAAATGTGGTATTTTCTGACTGTATATCCCTGATTAAATGTACGCCTCACCTCGCTGTATATCTGAGTGAGTAACTTATGTAAGAGTTGAGTTTTACGCCATTCCACTTGTAACAATATTCCAGCAATATCACAGGGGGGAACACCAGAAATGGACTTCACACATTGTACCCATGTGGGGAATCGAACCCAGGCCTTCGGTGTGACAAGCGAACACTTTAACCACCAGGCTACCCCACTGCCCACTGTATATCTGTGATAAAATGTATGCTGGTTCTGTATTTAGGTAATAAACATGCTATGTTGGAAAATCAGAGGTACCATAAGGTGTTCACCATAAAATATGTGTACTTTCATAGACAAAGTATGTTAATTTTGTAATATGTTTATTTAATTTTGTTGCTGCAAATTCATTGACAGAGAGACAGTAATATTGGAGCGAAACAGATTTTCCATTGTAATAGTGTTAGCTGTCCAAATGATCTCACACATGAGTGATGTAAGGCACCACTAATCTTTTACAAAGTCGTGCCTCCTAGCTGTACCAGGATCTCCTGTCATGGGTCAACATCTAATTATTGTTTTTGTAAGCGTCAGGATTTTGCTTATGTGCATCAAGGAAATGGTAGAGGTCTGTTACATGGCTCCTATGACTCCTCTTTCATAATAAACAGTGAGAGATTTAAACTTTAGGGCTACCCAGAGTGTCTAAAGCCTAATGATAATGAAAGAGGCAGCCAGCATCCAATACTACTGGTAAGAGGTCATTAGATGGTCAGGCATGGTGACTTGGTGGACAGAGCATGCCATCGTACCTTGAGAGCATTCACAATATCAGTCAGTTATTATGATTTCAAAGTTAAAACTGATTCTGATATAATTATTTACACCCTGCCAGCAATCAAACACCCCAAATATTCCTGTCAATATCAAGTATATGATCTATAGATCAGGAAAGTACTTCAGGAGAGTACTCGTAATACTGTTTTAGACTCTCAGATTACATGTTTATTGCACCATGATAACAAGTATATTTCTGATATTTTATTTTTTAGGAAACGTCATGATGTAACTATCAAGGATTTAGAAAAGAAACAAGATTCTCAGAGAGAGACACTATCGAAACTCCAGCACCAGTTCCAACAAGCACAAGTCAAGGCTGCCGCAAGAGCATAGCAGAGTTACCTCCCCTATACATAACACATCTTGCTTACTTCCCTTTGTATCAGATTGTCCATGACTTCCAGCACTGGAGTCTCATGTCACTTGCTGTCCCGTTTACATAACCTAATTTGAACACTGCCTTAAAATGTGTCTTTTGTTTGCTTCAAACTAATTTAATTTGAATATTTCATTTCAAATTCAGAAATTTCTGTACTTCTGTACTTGTAATTTTCAAGTACATCATTGTAATGATTTGAGGATTCATATTCTACACAGACTGTATTATTCTTTTTCACAGACTTCATATGTGCATTGTGTGTAATTTTTGTACAAAGTAAAATTTGTTCATAGAAAGCTTTCTTAGCTCGGTTGTTTCATAGAGTGAGTGCGTGAGTTAAAATGTTGCATCGCAATGGCAATATTACAGCCATATAGGGATAAAAACAAGGTAATCAATTTAAAATATCTGTTGACAAAGGACAGTAAAATCAACTAGACTATCACAGATATATATTTAAAACTAGTAATTAAATCTAATATACTTTAACTATAGAGGACGATACAATATAAAACCAGGCTATAGATCGCCAACAACCGAAGATAGATCACCATACTAGGGACCATGGGGACTTACAGTAACTTTGCTACCTGCATGGACCCTAGTTGGATTTACACCATCCTTTCAGCTGCTGGTGATTGTAGGAAATATTTAGCCAAACTTTAAAAGAACTAAAATACTACGTTTAAAAATCTGTAAGTTTGAATTTAGCTTTGAAAGTTTTGGGACTTAGGTAAGTTTCATAGAAGTTTTAACTTGATCATTATGATCTTTATGAGAAAAGATGGTCAGACTATGACTCGGTAGATGCTTGTCTTCATATCCCAGTTAATACCTAGATCAATGCTCATGATGTCAGTCACTGGATTGTCAAGTTCACTTTTGTGTATTTACTTACTTCCATCATATAGCTTGATTAGTGTTGAATGGGGCAATAAAGAACAAGGAAAGAAATAAGAACAATATAGTTAGGAACTGGTCAGGTTGAAACAGTGAGTTCAAATTATGGAAATAGACCTGATCTAAAAATCTTAATAGAGACAAACTTATCTGAATAATGTTCTTGATTCTCATTTTAATTCTTATCACAATTTCTAGCATTTTTTGGACTTGTGGCAGTGACTGATTATCAGCAATAACATTAGAAGGGTCGGTTGGGCGATGAGAAACATAGAAAATAAAAATGCTGCCCTAACAGTAATTGGTTTAGCAGGTCATGACACGTTTGTTTACCTCCTTTTGCTGTGCTCGGGTATGTGTAGTCACTGTGATACAGCATGAACATTTGATGCTGACGTCAAACTCCATACAAAAACACAACCTGAGTCAGTCAATCCCAATTTTGTGATGGTGTGTATTGTAGAGTAGATGTTTCATACTATATCCTCTATGGATATATGTCAACAACAACAAAAAGTGATTCTGGGACACAACGGGTCCTAAGCCGCTTTAAGCAATATTCCAGCAACATTCTGGGGACACCAGAAATGGGCTTCACAAATTGTACCCATGGAGACTAGCTAACGCTTTATCCACTAGGCTACCCCACCGCCCCTTATCATCTATGAGGATGGGGTAGTCAAGTTTGGTGACTTGGATGGTTGTGGGTCACTGTTACTGGACGGTTTGCCTGAGCCTGATTTACTTAGCTGGAATTTTACTTACTGTAGTGAAATATATGATAACTTTGACAAGATATTTGACACTTCAACTAAGCATTGATTCCTCAGTGAGAAATACTCTGTCACCCCTCCTTGTCCATACCTGTGAAGATACGGGTTAAAATTGGTCTTCAGCAGCACATGCTTGTTATAAGAGGCAATTAAAGATCGGGTGGTCAACCTCACTGACTTGGTTGACACGTGTCATTGTATCGCAATGATCAATGCTCATGATGTTGATCACTAGATTGTCTATTCTAGACTTGATTATTTACAAACTACTGCTGAGTGGCTTTAAATAGCAAACAAACAAAATCTGTCTCAAGGATAATCTTGGTGGGCATGTTGATGTCAGAGGTTACAACATGAATGGGGGTGGTATGGTAGCCTAGTGGTAAAAGAATTTGCTCATCACACAGAAGACCAGTGTTTGCAATACTTTAATTTGCCAGTTGGCCATCAGGGCCTGCTGCTGCCTGCAGACTTTATAATCTACAGGCCCTGAATGAAATCTGCAGGCCCATTTTGAACTTGAAATAATAATGATACTGTTAAAACTTACAAAAGATCAAAAAGTTAGTTTAATTTAATCTAATTCTATTCTTATATATCAAACACTCATTTATAGATCTTCATATTCACAGCAAAAGTGTCAAATTTTACTTGTGTTTGGTAGACACTTATTGGTGACAAATTATTCCTAGGAAAATTAGGTGGATATTTTCTGATGTCTTGCTGGTGAAGAAAGGTATTGTTAAGGTTATTATCAATGCTATTTATCGAATTCCATTTAATCTATAAAAATAGTAATATATTGGCTAAGATGGGTTGGTATATCTGCCTACCAACAGCACATTGTTTTAAGAAAGCATACTGTTAAGCCCAAACATCTGTTCTGTCTTCATTGATCTTTATAAATTATAGAGTGGATTGAAATATGTGATTGACACAAGCAATATGATAAGTCCATGATTAAGTTACATCTTAGTAACATTTTCTCAGATAATGTTATTTATGCACTGGCATCATAAATACTGTGTTGCTGCAGTATGTGTCTAATAGATAGAGTTGTCTCCCTTGTAGCCGCTCCTGTTGATACAGTCCAGACACATGATACACTTAGCTCACTTCATTATTAAGATATATCTATTGCTGTGAAAAGAGGAATAATTGTAACATTACATCCAGTTATCTTTTTAACAACATTTATGATTATTTACAGTGCAAGAAATTTGGTCTATTTAATTGAGGCAACTGTTAGCTTATTTCTAAGATCAAACCAAGTATATCAACAGATTTTAGTTTCATCTTATTACCTGCAATAAAGATTCTTCCAAAGGAAAAAATAACTACCAAACTTAACATATCTTTGTCTTATACATTTGAATGATCCGTACATAAATCATCAGTCCAACTTCACAGATATAGTAACAAAAGGTGAACATGGAGGATGATAATCAACTTATTTACTTACAGTAATATAAGTCAAGTGCAGTATATAATGTTAATTAAGCTGTTGATTCTTAACGTTAGTTTGATGTGACTTGGAAACATGTTTACAAACATGTCTCCTGGAGCTACTGATGCCTTTGTTGAGGTATATCACCCTAAATTGCAAGAAAGTCCACAACACTATCAACATGGGTGTGTGTGTGTGTGTGTGTGTGAAATGTTGCGCGCCCCCGTTTTGTCCTTAATGTTTATCAAATGACCATTGAAACTCTCGTGAAAATGAAGTGTGCACCCCCCACCCCCCTCTCAAAAAGCTGTATCCGCCCCTGATCAACGACTTATATCAACCAGTTTGTTCACACCATAAACTAGACACAAAGTATGTGGACTAATATGATCTTGTATCTTTGTGTTCAGCATGGCTTTGGGCCAACATTAATCTGGTTTCATCGAGTTTGCTGGGATATCGCTACTTCCGGATCTTATCTGGTCCAACTCCTGCTAGGTGCGAAGCCAGTTTCTGGTGTCCCCTGCCGTGATATTGCTGGAATATTGTCAACAGCGGCGTAAAAGCTAACTCACTCATTTACTCACTGTTACACCTGCTGCCTTTTCATGTTCATGAACCGCAATGAGCACGCACACTCCAATGGATATGACGCAAAAGAAATCTCCGTTATTACTATTATCAGAGACCTTATTATATATCTGCTATTATATTTTACAACCTAAAATATATAGAGCAGTAGAGAGGGGTTGGATGGCCCTGTACAACATTGGTACTTGTACATTATAACAAAAACGTCATCTCTAGTCACATCAAAGACTTTGAACAGTATCCCTGATCACAATCTGCGAGGATAGTTTCAACTTTCTGCCACAGGCGTTAGTCACGTGCTTCCTGGTGTACGCTACAGACTAACATCTCGCCTGACTGCTGATGCCCGTCGACTGCTAGACTAACGATAGGTCTCTGAATGTATATAATTTTATAGTAACAAACAATTCCTTTTAAACTGAACGGGATCCCAGGTGAATAGGGAGATTCAGAACCTGAGGAAATCTAGACTTGCATCATTTCCGTCTTACTATTGCAGAAAGTGCTGTGCGGAAGGGCTATAATGCAGTTCAGGGACTGTGAGACAGACCAGGAGGGACTGTGAGAGAGACCAGTTCAGGGACTGTGAGAGACAGACCAGTTCTGAGAGGACTGTGAGACGGACCGGTCCAGGTTCTGTGAGACAGACCAGTTGTGAGACAGACCAGTGCGGACTGCTTGTGAAGGTGCGGTGTCAGCGACTGTGAGACAGACCAGTCGATTGCTTGTGAAAGGTCACAATCCAGTGTTTAACATCACGACCGAGACCGATTTTTGTTCTGCAATAGATAAACTGATCTCTAACACTAATTTTGATAGTAAAAACAATGTACATTTTCAAAATTATTTCTGGAAGGCGTTATCAAACAGTATATATATTTCATAGCTAACTATTTAAGAACATTTAACATGTCCACCGCATCAAATCGTGTTCTGCAATAGGCTTTCCACAACACAAAGAAATGTTTTAATTTAGATTTAAGTGATCAAAAATATCTTATGCTCCCTGACCGAACTGACATTGGTTACCCACGGTAGACTTATGCCACGACCATTTGTACAGGAGCAAAAGTGTGGAACCATTCTCCCATGCTCTGCACACTCGCTCACAGGGGCTTGTAACGCTAAAAACTGCAATCAAGGTATGTACTGTCACTAACGGGGTTTTAACACTACATAAAAGGCTATGTAGTCCTAGTACTGTTAGAGACAGTACATACCTTGATGGCAGTTTTTAGTGTTACAAGCCCCTGTGCACTCGCTGCTATCTAACGCTCAGACTCTGAATGTATATAACGTTGATATACTTTGATAGTAACAAATAAATCCATTTAAACTGAAAAGGAGCCCAAGGAGATTGGAGAGTCATATCCTCAGGAAATCTAGACTTGCTTCATTTAGGAAAATAATATGGTTCAGGGAGTGTGAGACAGTCTAGCCGCTATCTCACTCGTCTCATTTCTGGAGAAAAAAAAGAAAACGATCGTTGACCTTCAGTTTGCAGTGGGAGAGGTTGTTGAAGGTCGGACACAAGGAAGGGGAAATTGCTCTGTGAAGATGGCGGTGCAGGGTCACTAGAAAGTCA